ATAGATATAATTTCATCATCTGTCAATCCTTCATTAATTTTTAAACAGTCGTCAAGATGAAGAAATTCTTCAATATCTATAAGATCATCAAATGGAAGTTACATCGAACCAGCATCACTTGTAGTTTGATTTTTATGTCAGATTGTTTGAATCAAATTGTAAACATTACGAGAATGAATGTATTTGTCTGGATATTTATACTGCAAAACTTCAATAATTGCACTAGCACGCATTCACAAGTAGCGAGAAGTGCTATGTCATCACGCATTTCTGGAGTAAGCTTATGATAATAAGGGGAAACCATTCTAATATTCTCCACTAATTCATGATTATGCTCACCCTCAACCTTTGTAATGTGAACGAGATTGTCCTTTTTTTAATGGTAAGCATTAATATGAAACTTGCAATTATTTGTATTATGTCCTCTGTTATGATTTTTGTTTGTATATGCTTTTTTTGTTGATTATATATTCGATCTTTTGAGCATGCATAAATACAATATCGAAGAAAACCATCATCTTTATTTTTATCATTGTGAGTAATCGTAAATGCAAAGTCTTGTTCTAATCCATGATTTTCAAGCCATCTTAATAAAACAAAAAAAGTTCTAATATTATTATATAGGTATAAATAATATGACATAACTTTCTAGCATACTTACTCGTCAAGTTTTTTCCAGTTTATGAAAGTCATATCCAGCGTAACAAAGTACAATAGTTCAATATTTTTAACTTCTTTGTAGTTATTTTTAAAAAACTCACTTAAAGACTCTTTCTCATTTAAAACAAATAATTGTGTGTCATCAGCTAAAAGGTTAAAAGTATCTTCTGATGTTCCAGATGGGTCAAAGTCATTGACACTATTATATTCATCTTCAATATGAAGAAATAGTGTAAAAGAAAAGGAGTGGGAAGACATGACTAATATAATTAAATGTAAATGGTAAGTGATGAGTAGTAGGTAAGTGATGCTAAACATAAATGGTGTTAAAGTATTGAAACATTCAATATAAAGAGAGCGAAAAATATGTTTAATTACCGTAATTTCTAATTGTTTGACTCCACTTTATGCTAAATAAGAGATATTATTATAATTAAAATTCTTGTTACTATGAAATTTTAAATGAAATAACGCTGAGAAAATTATTATTTCATAAAATCAAAAAAATCAGTTTAAATTCGAAAACCAACAAATTTGACCACTATCAAAAAAAAAGTTATAAGGAACAGAGGAAAAGAAAGTATAAGGAATGAAGAGAGTGAGAAAAAAAAACTTTAAGTATATGAAAGTGATATACAAATATACATTTAAAATTTAAAGTTTTGTATCAGAACTGATTATCTGATATCAATAAAGTTTATTTACATAACACGTCACGTACTACACCAATACATGTCACGTCTTCTGATTAGGCAATAAATAACAATAATCATGTGATCACATGATATGATGTTGAACACCGCGATGTGGTTTATAATTTCCGTTTATTTTAATTTTTATTATTATATTTATATACTAAATTTATTTTTTTTTTATAGAAAATATGGAAGATTTTTATCTGATAATTATATTTCTGAAGATACTATAAGTTCAGATTCAGAAATAGATGAAATTAATGAATTACTTGTCATTAGACCTACTAAACATAATTTAAGAAAATCTAAAAAAATTAACTATAATGAAAACTCAAAAAAAATACAAGAATCTCATTCAAATCTTACTAAAACTGAACAAATAATTAAAAAAGTATTAGAAATAATTATAAAATCACTTAATTTTTATTGAAAAAAAACCTAATAAAATTGCACTTATTTCAACAATGTTAGATTTAAGATATAAAGATTTTAGTTTTTTGTTAAATAGTGAAATTTAATTAGAAATTAAAATTAAAATACAAAGTTTATACAAAAATTTAAAATATGAATTAAACCCAAATAATGATTCCTTTGAAATACAAATAAATAAATGAAAATTATCTGATTATTCAATCTTTAATACACTTTTTGAAAGTGAAGATCAACAATATAATAATAAAATAAATGAAGTAGATAATTATTTTAATGAAGGAAAAGTAAGTCCTAATACTAATCCCTTTATATGGTGGAATGATAATAAACAAAAATATCCTATATTGTCAATAATAACACGTAAATATTTATCTATTCCAGTAATATCAGTTCCAAGTGAAAAACTTTTTTCAGATGCTGGAAATATTATGACAAAAAAACATACAACTTTAAGTTCAAAATTTTTTCAAGAAATTTTTTTTATTAAAAGAAATCTAAAATATATAGATATATTTACTTTGCTTACTAATAAGGTAATTATTTTAATATTATTAAATTATTATAAAATATTATTATAAATTATGAATTAATATTATAATTATAATTTAGAAATAAACTTATTATATATTTATTATTTATATTTATAAATAATTATAAAAATTAAAAAATTTTGTTTTAGTTTAACACTGTTATAGAGTATTATTAAAACTATAGTTTTAATAAATTTACAGTTTGTAAATTATTCTAAAATAATTTTAAATAAATATATATTGATAAAAATTTGTTATATTAATATTACATTTTGATAAGCATTTGAAATTATTAAAAAAATTAGAAATATAAAATTTTATCTAACTTTTTTTATATTTAACCAGTTAAGATTTTAATTAATCGGTTAATAACTGGTTAAGGATTTTTTGACCAGTTCCAACCTCTATTACCCTTATTTACCTTAAGTTTAATCTAATATTCTAAAAAATATAGAATCTAACTTATAAAAAGAAAAAAAAATGTTAGTAATATATTTAACTAAAAGAAAGATACTCATTACCTCTATTTACTTCTATTTATCCCAAATTTGTTCTGGTGTTCTAAAAAATAAAGAAACTAACCTACAATAAAAAAGAAATATTAGTAACATTTTTAACTAAAAGAAAGATACCAATTTACCCTATACCCTCATTTACCTCAAATCTAATCTAATGTCTTAAAAAATAAAAAAAGAACGTTAATAAAATGTTTTCAACTAAAAGAAAGATATATAAGTCATCTATTTTAGTATTCAAGTCTGATGTTCTAAAAGAAATAATTAGTAAAATGTTTCTAACTAAAAAGAAAGTTATGTAATACCTCCTATTTATCTCAAGTTTAGACAGAATCTTCAAATAGAATCGTCTGATTTATTACAGTAATAAAGGTAAACTGATATTTTTTCCTATTTTTTAATATTTTAATTTTTTTATTTTTTTTTAAATTTGATCAATTCCTTTACTTAGGTTAAGAACTGAATAGAACCTTTGAATGAAACCATCTAATTCATCACCATAGTGATTATAAACCAATGTTTATTTCCTTTTTTTATATGCAAATTAATAAATATATATATTTTTTTTTAATATTTTAATTTTTTTTATTTTTTTTTAAATTTAATCAGTTTCTCTACTTAGGCTAAGAATTAGATAGAACCTTTAAACAGAACTGTGTAAATCTAAGGCTTAAAGTAATCCTAAGGAATTAGGTTGAAAGAGTTGAATAAATGCTAAGAGAGAAGCTGTGTTAGAATTTTTTAAAGAAATGAAAAGAACAAAATGGAAAAATAAAAAAAATTAAACTAATCACCTACTTAAAGAATTGAATACTACCTATAAAAAAAAAAAGTGAATTAATGAGCTTAATATTATGCATATAGAAATGTTAGAATTTTTTAAAGAATAAAATGGAAAAATGAAAAAATTAAACTAATTGAAGACTATCTATAAAAAGAAAAGTGAATTAATAAAAATTGAAATGTTAGAATTTTTAAGAAACAAAAAGAATAAAATAGAAAAATAAAAAAATTAAACTAATTACTTATCATAAAACTTAAAACTACCTATAAAAAGAAAAGTAAATTAATAAATTAAATAATTATGATATTATGTATTTATTTAATTTAATTAATTTATTTAATTAATAATTTAATAATTCATGTTAATAAGGGCATTTTTAGGGCTATTATAATATTAATAAAATCATTTTTTTTTTAGAATTTTAACTAGTAAAGGCATTTATAGGCTACCAAAATATCAAATAATTTTTTTTATAAAATTTCAGATTATTGTAATACAATTTATTAATTATTATACTAAAATAGTAAAATTAATTATTCAAAAAATTTTATTTAAAGAACTTTTAATCATAATTATAATTTTATTTATTTTATTTGAATAGAGTCAAAATATAGAAATAATCTTTACATAGTTTTGGAGCCAGATTATTTCTCCCATGCAAACTCTCTTTTTTATAAATAGGTGCAATTTTTAGTAAAATAAAACTAAATTTTATATTTATTTTTTTCTTAATATAATTTATAGTGAGATAAAGCTATAATTTTGTATTATTTTCTTTTAAACAAATTTTTTCAAAAAAAAAACAAATATTATGACTACTCAATTAATTGAAATTAAAAAAAATAAATCCTCTTTAGCTTTTATGAAAGCTAGAGCAATTTCAAATTGTTTATACCTTTTAAAAGAACGAACTTTACTTAACAAATAAATGAAAATAATATCTTCGTGTCAAAATGATAATTTAAATGAGCTTTTTATTTCTATTTTTATCTCTATCTTTACTATTTTCTCTACTTTAGCCTCTATTTCTACTTCTGCTTTTACTTCTACTTCTACTTCTACTTCTACTTCTACTTCTACTTTGACTTTTACACTTATCTCTATCTTAATATCTATTTTTATGAATAAAATAATCAAAAAGTATTAAAAGAATATAATTAAAAAGTTAAAAAATTAGATATAAGTTATGTAATTCTCTTAAACGTTGAAAATAGTATACAAAATTTACAAAATTTAATTAAAAAATATAATTGAAATATTAATAAGTATCTAATTAATAATTAATTTAAAATAAATAATTCAGAAAATTGTTTTATTTACCAATTAATAAAAAACTTTTTTGATAAAAAAAGTTTCTTTTTAAATAAAAAAATAAATTATTTAAAAAACTTAATTTAGAATTGAATTATATGATGAATAATTTTAAAGATATAATTAAGAATTTCATTTTCAAAAAAAATTTCTGTCATACCTATTTGATATATTGAGGTTGCATAACAATATAGGGATATAATAAATATATATTACTTATACTTGAAGAAAAACATTTTCATGTAGCCAAATTTATATATAATTATATACAAGATCATTCTTTTATTTTAAACAAATTAAAAAAAGTAAGGATCTATAAAAATAATATCAAATTTAATATGATGATAAATATAAGAAAAAACATTTTAACGTATATTAAAATCTGAAAAAATATTTGAATTTTATCTTTATTTAAATGATACATTATTCCTATTAATTATTAATTTAGAATTTTTAATTAAAAATTTAATTAAAATCAATTTTTCTGAATTATATAATAATTTTAATATTGATTTTTTAGTATTAAAATAAATTTATCACTTTTTAAAAGATTTCTATAAATTTAAGTATATTTGAAGAAGATAATAAATTAAATTTAATAAGACAAGAAGCTACAGATTCTCATAAAGATAATAATGATTATAATCATGCTTTTTATATAATAGTAGTATTTGAGATTTTGAAGGAGAAGATTTATTTTAAGTGAAATAGGTATTGTAGTAAAAGTTAAATGTGATTTTATAATTTTATTAAGATTTGCTCTTTTAAAACATTTTAATTTAAATATATTAAAGAATAGGTTTTCTATAGTTTATTATTTAAAAAAATCATTTTTTAATGAAATTTAAAATTAATAATTTAAATTAATAAATAAATAATAATTATCAATTTTTTGAATATTATAATTGATTTCAAGTATTATAATTGTTTTTGACCATTATAATTGATTTTGACTTTTCAAATTTTTTAACAAATAATCAAAATCAATTTTGACTATTTTGACTATCACAATTATTTTGATCATTTTAATTTCAGTTTCATGTATAGTTATTCAACATGTGCTTCTTAAAGCTTATAATATAAATCCAAATTTATTTATAATTTAGAATTTTTAAAAGTCTTTCTACTGGCAGAAATTATTAAACTATTAAATCTAAAATTATTTTAAAACTAAGCTAACAAATTAAATAACTTAATATTATAATTATTTCAAAAGTCTTTTCTAAGAGAAATAAATAATTATCAATCAAAATAATTTATTATTACAATTTACTTTTGTAGTAGATTATTATGATTAAATCTTATAATGAAAAAAAAAGAAGATTAAAAGTGTAAAATAATAACTTAATTAATTTATAAAATTATAAGTTTAGTTTTAAAACTTATTCAGAAAACTATCTGATCAAACCCTGTTAACTCAAGATTAACTTATAAGTCTATTTATATAAAATTGTTAATTAGTACTATATTATATTTTTTGATAATTATAAATAATACATATAATGAAACTAGATAATATAATATAAATAATAATAAGAAGACTATATAATATATATAATGAAAAGTAAACTATTTGATATATGTATTATAAAATAAATTGAATAATATATATATTATATATTTAATATATATCACTTTTATAATATTTGCTATAGTGTGAGATTATTTAAGGCATAATACAATTTGTAATAAACACATTATTAATTTTATATTCAATCTATCAAATTTAGGATAATAATAACTTAAAAATAGAAAGTAATGTGAAATTATCTACTAAATTATTATAGAATAAGTCCTATTATAATCAAACTTAGCTTTATAATTTAAATAAATAAATAACTTTAACAATTTATAAGAATAATAAATACAATTGACATATAAAAGGATTTTAATATATGTAATTTATAAAGATGATTCTTATAATTATTTTCAAATTTCAATTGAGTTGCAACTTAATTGTGATAACATAAGGAAATTTAATTGCATCACAAGTTGTAACTTAATTACACTATTTTTTTAATTGTAGTGTCTATCTTCAGTAATTTAGAAAGAAATTCTTTTATTAGAGAGATTGTATCTTTAGCAATTTTTAAACTTAGATTTTAAGTTTTTAATTAAACTATTAAGTTATTACTGTTATCTCTATCCTTTTACAATGATGATTTTCTATCCTATTTATATAAAATTACAATTATAAAAAAATCTCTATCTAATGTTATTTTATATAAACTAATTTATAATGTTAAAATAAATATAAGAGATAAAATATAATTTTATTATGATTATAATATAATAAATAATAATAATAAAATAAAAATAAAAATAATAATATAAAAATATTAAATAAGTTAAAAATGTTAAAAGTATTAATAATGTTAATCATTTATTAATTTTTGTGATGTAGTAGGATTAATTATATATAGTATTATCATATAATGTGATCTGCATAAGATTAAAAAAATATGTTAAAAATACTATGAAAAAAGTCAACTAATACCTTTAAAATATACATTAATTATTGTTAAAATATATCAAAAAAATACATTTTAAATTATAATTATAATTTTAATTAATATAAATTTTTAAATTACCATATTTTTTAATTTTTTAAGTATCACCTGAATTTAAGCATTACCTTAATTTATGTCAAAAAAACTTGAAAAACAAAAATAAGTATCACTACAAATTCAAAAATTTTTTTATTATATTTTATAATAAATTTTATTTTTATGATACATCATTTTACAATTCATCTAATTTATTAGTTAAATTACTATCTATATTTACAATTTTCTTTTTATTTTTATTAAATTCTCTCCTTTTTTATCCTATCCAATAAATTATCTTCTGACCCATCCATTGTATTACTACTACCATATTTTTTAAATAATTTTACAATCATTTTTTTTAGAATTTCTGCTCAAGCTTTAAGTATCCATTTACAAATAATATTATACCTAGATTTTTTTAAATTCTCACCTTTAGTATAAGAAAATTGATCTAAACTTATCCAAATGTTCCACTTTTCACAAAATTTATTTTTAAATAATTTGTTAAGACAAATATCAAATGATTGAATAATAGAAGTAAGACCACTAAAAATAATTGTTAAATTAGTATTTTTAATGTATGCAATATTTTTATAGCATCCGTTTTGTGACCTTTGAAACTATTCATAATAAAAGAAATTTTTATTTATTAATTCCATTTCCTTTTGGTCTTTTTTTCTAAATTTTATTAAACTAGATTTTCATCTCAAGTTCATCCATCTATTCTTTTGGATGAATTATTATAGTAATCTTGGAAGGTAAATTTTTTGGCATTTGTATACCTTTAAAAATGACAATTAGTAGTAATTTCGTACTATTAGCAAGAATTATAAGAACATATATAAAGCAATTTTTTTTATTTCCAGTTGTCTAAACCTGCACAGATTTAGCATCACAACTTTTAATAATTAAACTCTCAACTATATCAAATAAATTAGCATTTCATCTATATTGCCAATTTTGCAAAGTTCATATTCAAATTATTTGTTTTTTAATAATAAACTGCTAAATTTAAGAAGTTTTTTACTAAGTTGAGTAAGAAGTTTTTGGCTGATTTTTATTTTACGTCATAATAAAAATTTACTCTATTTAAGAAAACTATAAAATTAACAATCAGAGGCAAAGATTTCTCACTATTTAAATAAATATAAGCAAACTCTTTTATCAAAATTTCCTTTATATAAATTTTAACTATCTTAGGAGTTACAGCAATACTATCCTTTTAAAATTCTATAACCCATATTTTTAAACTAGTTTTAGCTTCAAGATATGAGATTTTTCTATACTAACACATTAGATTTTTCTATTTACTGACTTAAGTTTGTCTTCATATTTTTTCTAATGTAAAATCATTGAGTAATCAATAGAAAAATTTTGCACAGCTGCTCTTTAATTACGTTCTTTTACTTAAAATAAAATTTCAAACTTTTTACTCACAGAATATAATAATCTTTGAATTTTTAGCATCATGTGCGAGAAAAAATAAGGGTAAATGGATCATTGTAATTATAAAGCATAAAAAAATTTTATATATTATCAGTAAATTTTAAAAGTGTTGACATATATAGTAAATGTACAGATCATTGCTATATTGATAATCACTATGTATTTTTAGTTGAATAATAATAATAATTTACACCTTACATTGATCAATGATGTAAATTTATATGTTGAATTAATTTGCACATTTTTTTAGTTTATTATAAAATTAGAAAAGCAAAATCTTAAAATTATAAAAGTGATTTTGATATCTTAAACCAATTAAAATACAGAATAATTAGTAAATATAAGTATTTTATTCAGTTATTTATCTTAAAATAATATATTGATAAAAGAAAGTGTTAACTAGTCATTTTTAAATATATTTTATTTAATTTGTATTAATTATTAATTATATTTTTAGATGATGATAAAACTATAAAAGTTAACTTTTATAATGAATTTAAAGAAGAAGCATTACTAATAAATTATAAAATGATTATTAAAATTATTAATTCTGTTAATTAGAAATTATGATGCTTGCTTTGATTATTTTGATACATTACTTAAAGCTTATTTTCTTTTAGATTCATAATTTAGAAAGATGCATAGATGGCTTAAAGAAATACCATCAAATACAATATCATTGTTATAAAAAGAAAGAAAATTGCTATATTTCAAAAAAATACATGACCTATTGATCAGATTGTTAGGTTTAAGTCGCGCTTATTTAGATCTGAAGTTAAAATACTGTAGATAATGAAGATGATATTAATTGCTATTTGAATAATATAGAACAACACAAGCTTTACCTGAAATTGATTTGTTTTCAGTGTATACAATACTTCGTACTATATGATGTACAATGAGTATGTCAATCAAGTTTTTCAATATTATTCAAAATAGCTAGAAATATTTGAGACTACATCTGTTCAAAATGAACGGCTATTTAGTAATGCTGGTAATTAAATTACTAGTGATCGAATCGATTGAAATCTGAATCAGTTAATGAGTTATTATTCATAAAAATAAATAGTAAATATGATAATCCCTTTAGGTGAATGCTTTTATAAATTAAAGATTTTTTGATATAGAAAGTATAATAAAGATAAATGATATCGTATGTTTATAATTTTTTAGAATTTTCAATTTTTTTTATATTAAGAAATAAATTGATCATTGATCGATCAATTTATTTTCGAAAGCATATAAATAATTTTATTCGAACTGATTAGCCAATTAATCAACCAAGACCTTTGTCTTAATAAATAATTGTTAGAATGATTGAGATTTCAATTAATAATTAAAGTTACTTATAGATTGAATAAATCCATATATGGAAGGTTTGCTAGGAAAATAGGGCTCTGGCATTTTAGATTGATGTTATTAGATTAAAATGTAATAAGGTCTCAATTTAGTCAAAAAAATTCCCTGAGCCTCATTTTCCTAGCAAACTTCCCATATACCCAATTTCTTTTTATTGAAATGAATAATTGGATTTTCTTTTGAAATATTTCTGAGTAATCATCTATTGCTAAAGTAATTTATTCGGTTTAGATTCTGCTTATTTTTTGAATCTACAGCTTTCTTTTAATCTTGACTCTTATGATTTCGAAACCAAAATTGAATTGCATATAAGGACAGGTTTTGTATATTTTTTCAAAATAGTTGTTTCTTCTCTGTTTAACTTGAGTAGAATGAAAATTATGACTGATAAAGGCAGTTACGTTTAAGCTAAAAATCTTCTTTATTCCATGTTTTGTTTATATACTTTGATATAATGAAGAGGAATATTTTTCTTTTGTAAAGTTTGAATTTCTAATTTTATTGCTACATTAAAACTGTAGTCGTAATGTTGAATAAGAAGAAATAAAAAGTTATGAGAAATGTCTTCTTATGCTTGTATACTAAATTGCTACATTTGTAGAAACAATTTTCACGTTTTGGTAGTGCAAGATTGTTTAATTAGCACAGTTGAATAAAAGGTTCACCTAGAGGTACAACAGCTTTCTATTTGTATCTCGTAGTTTTGTTATGGGCAAGCGGGTAATCTAATAAATTTAGCTAGGAAATAAAATTAACAAATCAAATGCCAAATATTAGTAAATCATGTGACAACTTCAAATTAAAATAAACTTTATTCTAAATTATTTCTAATTTTTTATCTTCCTTTTTATCATGCAAAATATGCAAAATAACAAAAACAAAAGAAAACAAGTTTTTCTAACTTAACTTTTAACACTACAAAAATCAGCAAATATGTTACTTCTACTTGCGACAAATATTGGAGTATGCTCATTCCTATAGATAAAAAAACAAGTGATCGAATCGATACTATTTACCTTGAAGCGGATTATCAAACTTTCAGAAAGAACGAAACCCGCAATGGTGTATGTTTCTAAAAAAAAGAAAATAAACAAAGTTGATATAAAACTTAATTTATTATACACGTTCCTTAGCATCAACATATGCCAAGTAATTATGAACTTTATTGTAAGTTATCTAAGGTGGGTTTGCTTAAACATTCTTATAATCCATTAATTACGCAAAGTATTACATCATAACAATAGATTTGTTTTCTTTCCTTTGATTTAAAACGAACACGGAATGAAGTTCACAAAAATATGGTTGTATTTAAGTTATTCTAATTAATTAAAATTTATTATACTTAGTATTTACTATAACAATAACAGTGGAAACGTATTTTACATCAATCTGAAAGGAGAAAAATCAATTTTAAATAATGCTGGTAATAATACCGTAATTGTTGAAGATAGCTTAATCCTAATACACCTTAATGAATTTACTGCGAATTGTGAGTAGTGTTTTATCAAATAGAATGATTAAATTCCATTTTACCAATTAGTTACATGTAAAGAACTTTAAATAATACTTTCCTCATGATCTAATTAATTGGGTTATTTTAAATTTTAATAATTTAGTTAAATTTCTTCTATGGGAATGTTACTGTGAAAGCGTATTGGTAATTATAGAGTTCAATTTTGTATAATCATTTACATTCCTCTAACATAATGATATTTTAGTTATATGACAAAGATGATGAAACAACTGTTGACACAAGTAGTAGTAACAAAATACCAAATAAAGGTAATATTTTCACGTATTCAACAAATTGAGTATTTAATTTCCAGTATAAAAATATGTAAAGATATTTATTTATTAGATAATTTCTCAAAATGTGCAGTTAATAAATATACGATAATCCGTCAGTTAGGGCAGTAAGTATTCTTTTATTAGTATTTTATCATGTTTGTTTTAGTTTATATTCCTTTTTTTGATTATTATTAATTATTTAATAGGGCAGTTTTGGCTCAGTTTTTAAAGTTCGAAACTAAGAAAACAATGATATTTGTGTTTTAAAGTGTTCTTTGAAATATTCCCTTGATCGGAAATATTATATGTTTAAAAAAATAAAAGAAATTGTATATGCTTTTCTTATTAATCTTATAGAAATTTATTAGTTCATTAACAATAGCTAATACGATTTTGCATTTTTAGTCAAACATATTACAAGTTTTAACAGTTTTATTACGAAAATACCAAAAAAAGCTTTTTAGTACTAGAATGTTAGTTTATCATTTACACTTATATATATTTTACTTTTTTATTATATTACTTAACAATTGTTTGATTTTAGGATAAAGGATGGAACTTTATATGAGCTTATCAAAAATGAACACAGATTTACCAAGGACGAATTAGTCACTTTTGCAAAGAATATGAGTGTCACATTAAATGTAATAACCATTTAAGTTTTTTACATTTGAAGTATATGATGACTAAATCCTTTTTCTTTCGTAGGAATTTCATGAGAAAGGACTTGTATATAGGGATTTAAAACCCTCCAATATTCTAATAGATTTATCGGTATGTAATTCTATGTGACTTTGGACTTTGCAAGAAAGCTAAAAAAAATTATGACAGGAAGACCTGATGGGACGAAAACTTATTGTATGCAATTTATTTGAAATATTAATTATATAGGAGGCTATTTAAAATCACATTATGGATCATATGATTTACTATGTTCGTAACTCGATTTTAATAGAAAACCTCCCATATTGTTCAAAATTTGGTATTAATTTAATTTTAAATAAGTTTTTCCAGAGATACAAACCATATTCCATGACTATTTCTCTCTAGGGACAGTATTATTAGAATGCATTATGAAGAAAAAATTTTACAGTGTTAGCCGCAGTTTATGCTGTGCCTTAAAATGATCGACAACTGTGCCAAATATTATACATGTTAAACATGTAATATATATATCGTTTAGTCGACTTTATAATACATGTATCGAATAGTTTACCTTTTAATATAAATATTATATAGTTTTATTTTCATTACTTATATTATTTTCATTATATGTACTTATTGAAAGGCGTAGTATAATATTAGTTAACAATTTTATATAAATAGACCTGTAAGTTGACCTTGAATCAACAGAGTTTTGCTCAGGGATTGAGATAAGTCTTAGGATTAGACTTATAACTCTACAGTTAATAAAGTTACTATTTTACACTTTCAACCTTCTTCTTGTCTTCATTATAGGATTAATCATGATAACCTACTATACAAGTAAATCGTGATAATAAATTGTTTTATTCGTTTATCGTTAATTTCTCTTAGGAAAGGCCTTTGAGATAATTGTGTTATTAAGTTTCTTAGTTTTGTTAGCTTGGTTTGGGACGATTCCAGGTCTAACAACGGTAATGATAACTGATAAAGATTTTCAGGAATCTTCTTCAAATTTGCAAAAACAAATTATTGAAAATTTTGTGCTCAGTATTATGAAAGAAAACATACATGGTTAAAGTAAATAATGAGTTTATTTTTGTATAATTTATAATTATTGTAATGTCACTTTATATTTTTTAGTAAAAATACCAAATTTAAATAATATAATTTATAACATTATTAGAGATTTGATAAGAATACTACCTGAGGAAAGGAAGCTATTTGATATTTGTTAATTTACCGAATTTTGTAGCAGATAAGAAAGCTTTATGTGGAATTCATTTTCTATTAAGGTGAAACGGTTCGCACTCAAAATCTTTGAAAAGTTAAAGAGATCGCAAATCGACACTGTTTTATTTAAAACTTATGTACCAGTAATAGTGTATAATGATTAATAAATATTGTATGAGATTTAACATAGCTGTAACAAACAGTGCTAAAAATAAATTTTAAATGTTATATACATAATAATTAATTTAAATTTAGAATATAAATTTCTTTACCTGATGCAATTAAAATTTCATGTTTCTTAGTACTTACACGCAAGAAAGCTAAGTCGTTCTAAATTAAGCTATATATAATTATTCTGAAAAAATAAAAAAACAAAAATGACCATTTTTAAAAAATCACAGTATCATCCATCAAAATATTGTTTGTTCTACTAATTCGGTAATTAAATCCTAATATTCTTTATTCAACGTAGTTCTAAATTTGATTTAATAATTTGTCCATCTTCATTAACACCTTGTACATGCTTGTTTGCTGTAAGTCGGTTAATATTTTCTTCAACCTCAGACTACAATTTAAGTCAAGTCAATATGAACAAATACGGATCGAAAAATTCAGAAAAAAAAAATGACATTATACTTTTTTTAAAAAGCATTGTATAAAAAAAAGTGTGGCTTTATTTATATCCATATTACATTTTTTTTGCATGTGCATAAATAATTTCGAGGCTAACTAAATCAACGTAAGAATTAAAGAATCATTAAAAAGATGTACAACGAAATGTAAAATATTTTTAGCATATAATCAAATCAGGATTATGAGAAATAATTAGTATATCTTTCATTGTTAATGTTATAGTAATAACGTCGGCGGCGTGGAAAAAGATTTTTTAAATGCTTAGGACAAACTAATTTAGCAGATTTCTAATTAAACGGTAGCGGAATTAAGAAAGAATTGTATGAATTGAATTGGTAATTTAGTTGTGCCTAACGAATGACTATTGTAATTTGGAAGAC